ACTATTTCCTTTCTTAGTATGTTCTGGGAATCTCGCTCATCTATCTTCTTTCTCTACTGTTGTGTTGGGATGGCCTTCAAGTCCGCCAGATTCTTTCAGGGGCTTCAAAATTTGACCCTGGCTCTTGACTATTCCCTGCAGCTTGGGTAGTCTGCAGGGATAAAATCATCTGGTGTATCTATTCTGATGAGATCTAGATCTCTTTTTGCTCCAGACACATTTTTATCTGGATTGGGAATGTTATACTTGTCAGGGTTCTATAATAGTGCGCAAATACAAAGATTTTGAAATTCCCTTACTAATAAAGTTGAATTGAGGACCTATCGTCATCTTTTTACAAAACAGTCTGGTATCTGTTTAGTGAATCTTTATTCCCTGTGTCTTGCATGATATAATGGTATCAGTGCGGTAATCCTGTTGGACTGAGGACACAAATACTTGTCTCTCTTCCCCCTCCCCCTCTCCAGCTACATTGGCTTTCCAGTTTGTTGGCTTAATAAAAGAAATGAGCTCTTCCTACAGGGTTTGTCTTGTAAAGTATTAATTACATAAACCTTGTATCACTTTCTTCTAGCATGTTTGGGGAGGCAGATACAGATTTGCAGGAACTCCGGGCCTCGATGGAACAATTGCTTAGGGAGCAGCCTAGTGAGGAATTCAGTGAAGAGGAGGAGTCTACTTTAAAGGCTAATGTCATCGAATGTGTAACAAATGGTACAGAGCTGGAGGAAGGAGATGAAAATAACCCCAGCAGTGAAAGTGCACTTAATGAAGAATGGCAGTCAGGTATAATTTCTGCTATACCTGTTTTAGAAGTTATTTATTGATGTTAACAGTTCAAACACAGAATAATGTTTTTGCATTGTATACTTACAATGAAATAAAGCTCTAATTAATAGCTTTTATACAGAAGTTTAAAAATAAATCAGATAATATTTAGACTTTCTGAATGTTAAGGTCAACATCTAAGCAACATTCAGTGTTGCAAATTAAATGTTGGCTGTTTGTTAGGCAGTGATTATAAGTCACTTTTTCTTTAGTTGTCTAAAACTAGTCTTCAAGGAAGATCAAAGACCCTGTGCACATCATATGTTTTGAATAATTCATGATCGCAATGTAAGAGTGAAGAAGAAATAGCAATTGACATGACTGCAGTATCTGGGATCCGGCTTACATTACAATTAAGTAATTTAACAGGCAGTCAAAATGAACGTGAAATTATTAACTTTGTCCTTAGCCCAAAGTAGCTGTTAATGCAGTCAAACTAAAAGAGAGACAGAAAAATTTATTACTGCTTTTAGCATTTTGCATTAGCTACACACCGTGGTGTGTCCTGAAGTTTCAGTTCTGGTTTTTAAATTCTGGTTGAAATAAAAGTACTTTACTACTGCTGTAAAATAAAGTGCATTTAGAAATACAGGTATAAAAAGATGTAGAAAATCAGTAACTAATCTAAAACGTAGCTTTTCTGTAACTTTGGTTCATTGAAGACAATTTTAAACAAATTGAAAATTTGTTTGAATATACCTGTAAGATACTATCTATATAATATATTCCAGTAAGTATTTTAATGTAAAATAAACTTCTTTCATTTTTTGACAGTGCTGCTGTTATACACTGATAATATACAATACTATCTGTTTCTGTGATTTAAGGAATTATTTTTCTTGGGCAAAAGCAATTCGCATTTTATAATAGGATTTTACATAGGGATTCTATCTTGTATTTTTAAATAGATCCTTTTTTTTGTTAAATTTAACCTAATGTTTGACTGTTACAAACCTATTTGTAAGGTTTCTGTAGCCTATAAGCAAAATCATCCTGATTTCTCTCACGTATCTTATTGCACCAATTGGCATAGTGTATCTGCTACACAAAGGAGATGCACTCATAAAAGAATGAGGAACTTTGTAGCTAAATTAGTACTGGTTTTTTTAGACTCGCTCCATGGAACAAGATGCATCTCAGTGCAGAAATTAAATAACTGATTCTTAACATACACATCCTTATTTTCTGCTGGAAGACAGCTGCTTCATTAAGGAGCTCCTTTCCCTAGCACGGGACAGCCACTGAACCCTTCATCAGTTCCACCTCAGAAATACGTGGAATGGTTATATGGAACTTGACCTACTAACATTGCTTTGCTAAATAAAAGTCTGCTTTAAGGCCATACCTTGTTTTCTTTCAGTATGAATACCCTTACAGTTAACTATCAGAGTGGGGTTTTAGAGGAGATAGCTAGATGCTTCCCATTTGGCATTCAGAATTTCTTTGCTGTCAAGAAAGGGACTCTTCCTATTTCCTTGCAGGTTGTCCAGAACATCTGCCAACATCGTCTAGTGCTCCTGAGCTTACCTGCTTTCATTACATTTAGAGGTCTGTGTGGATATCAAGTTTAGGGACATAGAAACAACATTAAGAATGTAGGAAAATGGAGGGGGGTTTACTGTTGTTTTCTTTCTTTATAGATAATAGTGATGGAGAGATAGCCAGTGAATGTGAAGAATGTGACAGTATCTTCAGCCATTTGGAAGAGTTGAGATACAACCTGGAGCAGGAAATAGGCTTTGAGAAATTCATTGAAGTTTATGAGAAAATAAAGGTTTGTGGAATAACCTCAAGTGGGAAAGACTTTAAGAAACAAGTACCTAAGGCTGTTTACTGTGCCAGTAACTAATTGCATTGTGTGACTAGAATCAATGCTCGTTTCTTTAGTCTTTTATTCTGTTTCAACACACTAAAATATTAACAGAGAAAATGCCATGCCAATGGATTAAAGAGGAAAACTTTGGGTTTAACCATTTAATAGATTTGAACTATCTAATTCTATACCCATTCTAATTTTGGCAACATGGATTGTCCTTTCTCCCAGGCTATACATGAAGATGAAGACGAAAATATTGATATTTGTTCAACCATAGTTCAGACTGTTCTTGGAAATGAACACAAACACCTGTATGCCAAAATACTTCACCTAGTAATGGCAGACGGAGCCTACCAAGAAGGTAATCTCACTGTATGCTGGCAATTATGGCTTGTCTTACGTTCTTTCTTGGTCATATACAATAGGTTCTAATACACTTTTAAAACATATCTGTGCTGTGTTATATTGATTGGCTAAATTGATAAAAATATTTTTCACAAAGGGTATTTTTATTCTGCAACAAAACGTGGCAAGCTTTGACTAAGCCTGCTGACCGCTCTGATTTAACAGTATGTACATATACAGCCAACTGTAACAATAGCTGTCTTATGAAAGGTGCAGTATAATTATTTAAATGCTGTAAAACAGTTACGCAGATTGGGAAGATGGAAGTCTAGAATAAAACTTTCAGAATTAAGAACAATTTTATCTTAAGAATGAATGAATTCTTAGCTAAAATAATATTGTTCTTCCAAAACTCTACTTTTAACGGGTTGCAGTATCACTGCTTTCCTGAAAGGAAAATTTCGTGTGGCTCTTTATCCTAGAATTGTCATTTTTTTCAGAAGAACTTGATGTGGAGGTACCATCCATCTTAGTTTTCAGGTGGCTCAGTAATACATGAAGAGAATTTATCTTGCTTGGGAGCCCTGCCTAGCTTAGCACAGATTACTAGGCAGACGGATAGTTCCTAGATCTTTGATATTCATATTTCACTCTATGAAATACCACACAGACCAATATCAATGAGAAGTGGTTTTGGTGGTTTTGGTTTTTTTTTCCCCTCTCATTTCAAAAATTTAACTGCAGTTATGTAATTTTAGATTTCTAACGATGAAAATATTTACTGGAGAGAAAAAAACAAAAATCTAAAATCTCAATTATTTTTATAGAAATCAGAAGCATTATATATTGGCTTTAGAAATGTGTGCAATGATCGCTATTTCATGTATTTCAATTTTGAAAAAATATTCTAATGCATGTTAACCAACGTCTACTTTCTGCATCTTTTAAATTCTTTTACAAATGTGTTGCAATAGCAGTGAATAAAGGGTCAAATAAGATTACGGCTTTCTGCAGGTTTTATATGTAAATGCTTGGGGGGAAAAATGTCTTTAAAACATAATAATAAAAAAAAATAATTTCTAATACAAATTACATTTTCCCACTTTTTCTTTGCTACTGATACAGAACCACTCACTAAGAATAACCAGTACCATGTTGTTTTCATGCTGCGTTATAGAAGTATGACAGAAAAGTGTCTGAAAAATATTTTTATCAACCACAATTTATTGATTTAGTGACAGAATTGGAAAGATATATTGTAGTAGTTTATTTTTCAAGTGTCCAAAGGACTGGCAATATAGAACGAGAAGAAAACGGTAACTATAGTGTTACCAGTTTCTTTTCCTTGCCACTTTGCCTTAAGGATATTTCAAAACTAGTACTAAAAGGCTTAAATGACAATTTGCTGAAATGTTGGCATACAAATTGTAAGCTGTTGTCTGAGTGAATCCTATAAAATGAGCCAACTTTCATCTTGCAAAATGCTGATTAACAGGTGGGCTATTTTTAATAGCTTTAGTCCTAATTCTGTATTTTACAAATCTGTGGTAGCTTACAAAAATGTACAGAAAAAGTAGTTCTTTACATTTTAGACATTTAAAGTACATGTAGTACGTTAGTACTAAATGTACATGAAGAACTACATTTAAAGTAGTTCTTTAAATCTCAGACATTTAAAGAAAAAAATCCTACGCTAATAAAGATGAATAGAGGACAAGTGACAGTCAGAAGCATGTTCACGAGCTTCTGTCTCAAAAGTTTTAACCTCTTCAAATAAGAAAAGTTAGGAAAAAAATCTATATTGCTCTTTCCTAAGAGGACTGTTCTAACTGAAGCAGGCCACTTGAGATGACACAATCTTAGAGTCATTAACTCAAAGATGACATGTTGTTCAATATTTGTATGCGTAGTGCTTTCAAGGCAGTTTTGGTAACAGTCACCTCATTGGTGACTGACTAGTGAATTCTTGTATTATTGCTTACGAAACTGCAGTTTCTAGTTTGTTTTGTAACCCCACCTTGATTTTGTGTGTGTGTGTGTCACTCCTTTTCACCCTGTCTATCCCCCTCTCCTGCTTTTTACAGATAACGATGAATAAACCTGACTCAGGAATTTCCTTAATGCTGTACTACATATCGGTGTTTGAAGTCTGCACAGCTGAATAACAAATTGTAGTGGAGAATGTAACATGGGGCAGGAGAAGCAAGACTTCAGAAAAGAATGTTGATTGTATGAAAAAGGGGAAAAACATGCCTTTTAAAACTGAGATACCTATACATTTCTCTTGTGTGTACTTGCCTATGTGTTCATTAAATATTAGATGCCCAAAATGTTAAAAACAAAGAAACAAACAAAACCGCAGAAAACCCAACAACAACAAAACAAAACCCCCCAGAACCTGTAATCTCTCAAATTCCAAAACAAATATAGAAAGGAATACTTGTAGATATTCTGACACAAAACTGAGACCTATAACGTAAACCAGAATTTCTGCCGTATCAACAGTTGGCTGGTACAGCTAAGCAATTGGAAGCATTACGGTGTTGTGGAAGTACCCGCATCTAGCTATTCACATACATACTTAAAATAGCCTTTCTTTACACCTACATAAAGAAATTGCTTCATTTTTATTGACCCTTGTGGTTGTATTTTAATAGCATCTTAACCTAGTGGTCCAGTTTGAGTGTTTCACTTTTTTTCTTAAAAAAACCAAACAAACAACTATTTTGAAGCTGAAGGCTTCTGTCACTTTTTAACCAGTGTCATCTGAAATATCTTAATGGTGTTTCTAAACCAAGGCGAACTGGTACTTCAGTCATCATTGAATGTCTGGGGATTTTTGAGATTGTAAAATTCATTTGGAGCTAGAATACTTTTTTCCCAATATTTTTCTTCCCCTTCCCCAACCCCTTCCCAAAATCCGAAGTATTTAGCTCTTTTGAAAGTTGTAATCTGGTCAGTGATAATATAGTATGCTGTTGAATTGAAAGGAGTGGGGGTTTTCCAGTTTGTTTTTAAATTCTTACTGTTACACTCATGGCTCCAGCAGCCACAGGGGAAAATGAAATACTGCAGGCACAAGTGCTATGTAATCCTTCTCATCTTTTTGGCTCATGTTTTGTAGCTTGATTTCCACCACCCCGAAAGAAAAAACAGGTTTCTTCTGACCCATATTTCCTTGTTCCTCCTGTTGAAGCAGTACTATACAGGGTGGACATTAGGTATGCTGCTGTTTTCCAGTCATCTCTGGAACAGCTTTATTGGCTTACTCATACAATAAGTCTCTTCTTACAAACCTGATGAACTGTCAAGCTTCCAACTGCCCTATTGGAGAAAGACAGATTTTTTTTTTTTTATTTTTTTTTTTCAGCTACAGCCAGTCACAATCTAAAACTGTCAAGAGTTACTTTTCCACAAAGCAAAATCAAGTATATATATCTCTCTCTATATATAACTTAAAACTGTCAAAATATGTACATGATTTTTGTATAATTGTTTTATGGTGGTGTTATTAAAGTTTTGCCCACTGAAAAGTGTTAATTTTTTTAAACACATCCAATTCTTAAAGGTAGACCAAGCTTACTGTATTTCAGCTGTATCCTGGGAACCTGTGATGAGAATAAAACTAATAATCATCAATTCCTTCAATATTAATTTTTTTTATACCCTTATTTACTTGATAAACACCTCTTGCTTCATCTGATGAGAAAGCGTGATCATTGTTGGAAACAGTGCTGGTTCTGTCCTATGCTGCTTCTCTTCTCCTTCCCCTTCCTTCTTTTTTTCTTTTAACTTTCCACAGTAAATTTTGGGGCTTTTCACTTCCACTTTTCACTGCTGAATAATCTATTCAGAGAGATGATCCTCATGAGCTGCATCATCCATGACATTTAGCAAATACACTCTAAAGACTTCAATGAAGAATGAGTCTGTGTTATTTTCCTTTTTCAGGTTTGCTTTTCAAATCATACTTTGCCCACCTTTTGGGGGAAGGTAGGACCCAAACCCTTTAGATTTAAAAGAATATAGATTAACCATATGGAAAGAAGAAGATATACCAATCGGTATATTCTGCGCTCTGTGGTTTTGAATTTTCTCAAGGTGATACAGCCTTACTGAAGTTAAGGGTTGGGGGGTGTTTAAATTGAAATCATATCATTATTGACATTCTTCATTTCTTACGCAGTGTGCTGGCTTGCTCCTGCTAAGAAAAATGGACGTAATCCGCAGACTTTGAGCTTTACAGACATAGAGCTTTCTATCAATTAATGATTTGAAAAATATGCGTAGATTGTGCACAGCTTTCCAAGAATAATCTTCAAACCTGCCAACTAGGACTGGATATCCTCGAAATCCCTCGAGCTAATTTAAAATTGACACAGTAAATAAGTTTGTCTGCTAAAGAAATACTTTTATCTGAAATTTAAAATCCCTATTTCATGTACACTATAACGACATCAAGGACAGTGTGACTTCAGGATGATTTATTGGTCTGTACATAATAACTTATTGAAATTAGTTGAGCATTTGGCTTGTATTCATATTACATTCACTATAACGAATTTTCTGTTGTAATTCTAGTAGCAAATTGAGATATAGAATGGTATTTTTGGCATAAAATATACTCTGTAAGCTATTTCACATTATGTCCCTGTCCTCAGTCATTCTTCTTGACCCCTGAAGCCAACTGTAGTTCAGATGAGGAATCTTTTTAAAAAAAAAACCAAAACAAAACCACAACAAACAACCAAATACAAATGGAAAACCACACATACACCTCTCCCAAACCCCAAAAAACCAAACCCATAATGCCTCGTATCGTGCTGCCCTGCAGCCATGACTGTAGTCTGTGACGCTGGGGTCTCATAGTTAACTGTGCTATTTATGGCTGTATGTGTGCCTTGAGTTTTCTGACCTTCAACAGAAAGGAGTAAAACCCCAGCAGTGAGGCAGAACTAGAAATGCGTCCTCGTGGCCTGTGGCAGGAAGATGGAGTCTTGACTGCTAATGGGCTTTGTTTTGAGCTGAACGGGTACAGTAATCCTACCCTGAGCATTGGTGCCCACAATCTTTTTAGAAGAACGGAGCCCGAAGGGGCTTTTGCTCTTCAGTTTGCTGAACTTCGAGCCTGTATTTGAAGTTACTGCTAGGAGGTACTTCAGAAAAACGTGTTGCTTGGTTGGGCAATGTGAACCAAGGCAGATCACTAACATTTCTGTGGTCTGGTAAGCCAATGGCTGACTGAAACAAAGTTCCAGCGTACCACATTCCTGACAAGGTTCTCCGTGCTCTCGGGACATCTACATCATTTGTCAGTCATTCTTATTTCGGCTTTTACTGCTTCTGTCTCCCTCTTGCTCTGACGTGTGCATAAATGCTGAACGTGTATTCAAACATGCATTCTCTGCTAACCCTTTTGTTCTAAAGCTTTACAACCTTGCCTAAATCTGTTGAAAACTTACACAAATATTTGTGTAAGACTGCTTTTTTCACAGGTGTTTGCAGGGGAAGGTACACCCTTTCAAAACTCTGACCGTCCTCAACTCGGAGTTGAACTGCGAGTTCTTAAGCTGGCATTTAGAATACCCAGCCCAAGCCCGCACGTTCGTGGTGCCCTGCCACCGCCAGGTGGCAGCATAACGGCGGGGGGGC